TTTGGAGGATCAATTCTCACAGTACCCAGATATTAATCTTTGTGTCTTTATTTTATGACAATTGAAAAATTATATTGAACTTGAGACAAAAACCTTTTCATGAGTTTCTTATGAGTATCTCAAAAATGATGATTAATGAATTCAAAACCACCTACTAACTGGTCACAAGAAGGAAAAACATCAAGCATAACGTATGCATTCTAAATCTTTTATCATGTATATCATATGTATATATATGTAATTCACAATGGCTTTAAGGTTCCTGATAAAATTTTAAAATATCACTTTCTTACAAAGAAAATCATGTGTCTAAATACCTAGCTTTTTTATGTAGAAGTGAATTCTGTATGCAAGCAAATTTAAATAATAATTTGGATTTACGTTTTAGTGCTGTGCAAAGAAAAATCAATTTGCTGTAGTCAATGATCCTGTTTCTATGATTGAGCAGAATTCATATGATGGTTCCCTGTCAGTATCTTAGAAATGATCTGTGATCTGGATCACATTTAGAGTTGGTGTTAGACATGATCTAGGCTCACCCTTTCATTTTATAGATGGGGAAACAGGTTCATATAGAGATCTCAGAGTAAGTTTTAGTGCTTTGCAAAAAGGACTAACTTATCAACATGTTAGTTATCTCCTACTTTAGAAGCTAATTTTCTGACCTAAGAAAAATTCTTACTACCATACTCAAAACTTTATCATTCTGATTAATTATAAATCCTAAGTGTCCATTTTCAAGTTCTTTTTTAAATCAGAAGGGAAAAAAAGTTCTTGTGTTACCCTTGTAGTAAACTCCTCTGTTATGTATTTAAAGTCTATTGACAACCTAGCTTCAACCTGTCTGAAGCCTAGATTTATTTCACATTGGTCTGTATCACACGGTATGTTCCTGAGAATCTTACAGCTTCCTATAAATAGGTTTCCAATATATACCTCTGTGTCTTTGCTCTTTCTCCTCACACCAACTTTCTGGAATCCTTTGCTCCTTTAAAGACAGCTCAAGTGTTATCTCTTACCTAAGGTTTTTCCTCATCTGCCCTATTGTTAGTGCCCACACACACACACACACACACACAAAGCTTCTTGAGGGCAGGGACTACTGCAAAATAGAGATAAAGAAAGAGATATAGAAATAGAGATACTTTTTATTGTGTTAGCTCCTAACATAAGGCTGGTGAGTACTTAAGAAATTTTTGATGAAAATGAATTGAAAAATAGCTGTAATTATAATGTTTTACTTGTTAGTTTTAAGACTACATACTTTTTTTTAAAATTCTGGACCTGAGATTTCATTGCTGTAGTTGAGGAATATCATTTCACCAATATAGATTGAAACCTGTTCTGCAATTTATTGTCTTAGAGGGTTGCTCGAGGGTACTTAGGGGTTAAAGAGCCTTCTCACAGTCACACAGCATGTAGGTGTCAGAGGAAATAGAACTATGTACTAAACTATGTACTAAAAACATAACCCAAATGATAATTGTGCTCAAAATTATTTTAGATAAAGGTCAAACTATTTTTCATATTCGCTTTTTATATTAAATCTGAGTAGCAGTACCATTTGAGAGGTACGTTCTAAGACGGTACTGAGCATTAGAACAGAAAGAACTTCGGGCAAATGGGTAACTAGGACTAAGAGTAGATGGGAAGTGGGAACAGAGAAAGATGGATGTGGGGCTCCCTCCTTGTCTGTTGCATCTTCATTGCAACCCATATTGTGAAGCCCGAACAATTTGACCTTGCAGAGTCTGGCTAAGAAATGAACCTGATGTTCTTCTATGGTGGACAAATAGAAACTCTTGTGATATTTAATTTACTTCATCTTATCAAAGTGATTGATGTATTTTGGCTTCCAAAACCCTCAGCACCTTTAACAATTACTAAAATTAAGGCTTCAAAGAGAAAATCATCTTCCATGTTTCAAATGCTTATCAACTAAAGAGAAATTAGCATTAAGTCAGTTGATGACTTAAAGAATTTCTAAAATTTTGAGGTTTCCTTCATCACCTAAAAAGCACACATGAATTTAATCATAAGATTAAGAAAAATAACTGGTGAGGTATCATTTGCACTACAAATTTTAAATTCCAACTAATCCAGGGCTAAAAAGTCTTTGTGCCCATGTGATTACCTTTGAAACACTTGGCAAGGGCAATTTGTTAGTCAAAAAATATTTCAAAGGATGGTCAAAAGCTATGTGTACTTACTTAGAAAGATGTTTTAAATTTTTCTATCATATGTCATGTGAGTTCCCCTCCAAAAGACCTCCCCAAAAATTTTTAATCAAATTCTTTAATTCATACCTTTAGTGTAAGCACAGGAACACAAAGGAAATATGATTTTGTACTGTCGAGAGGTTTAGGGTTTTTTTATGTCAAATAATGTACAAAGACCAGATTTCATTTTGTCCACCATAGCTACATCCTACGATCAAATTAATATTACGGCATTTCCCTTTTGTATTGTTTAAACTGCCAATGCTTTATCAGAGGTTCTTAATCTGGAATATATAATATTGTTTGTTTTTTAAACATTTTGTTAACTGTATTTCAATATACTTGGCTTTCTTCATAATTCTATGTATTTAATTTTGTATAAAAACATTATTCTGAGAAGAGATTCATGGAATTCAGCAGATGGCTAAAGGGGTCCATGACATAAAACCAATGTTAAGAACCCAGGATCCACATTTATTGTTGTTTACTGAAAGATTAAATAATAGGAAATTCTATGCTTATGTTATACTACTCCTCATAATAAAAAAAAAAGGAAAGTCAATTTTTAAATTGAAGGTATCTTAATATTCAATAATAACAAAAGAAAAATCTACATTTAAATTATATTTTTGTAACTGATAACAATCAGACAAAAGAAAGACTATGTCTTCTTAATCTACTATGAAATTAGAGAACAAAAAATGTTTGACTCGATGTCTTGAGTTTCGTTATGTCTCAAATAACTATTAATATCATCATCATTATTCATATAAATCTGTTTTATACGCAAGTGATAATCAAAATGAATCATTATCTTGCTGGTCAAAAGATATATTTCATTACTAAGCTAACATCTAGGCTACTAAAAATCCAAAATCTACAAAATAACATTGTTTGAAATTTGCTTTTATTCTAAACTTGACTTGTGACTTTATTGGTGTATGGAGCTAATTATAAGGAAACTTCCTTTATAAATTCAACAAGTCTAAATGACTTGAAAAGGGCCATCCAGCCAGTAGGTGGAGAGAGGTCAGAGATCATTTAGAATCCATGGCAACCACCCACCCATCATGCTAAGCTGTCACTAATTGTTGAAATTTGAAATGTTCTGCTGGTGCCCATGAAATGAGTAATAGAAATTTATGTAAGGTAGTGAACTGTATTGCATCAACTTAACTATTTAAACTATTTAACTATGAACTATTTATTTTTTTCAAATTTCAAATTACTCATATAAACACAGTTACTGTGTTACTATGTATCAAGAGACAGCACAAAAGTTAAACTTGGCTTGAATTAGAAGTGGTCATTTGGTGCAAATATGCCATGGATTTTGTTAGACTTTCTAAACATGTCATTTTGATACATAGTTGACCATCTGATAAAGACTGGCATCAGTGACTGAATAAAAAAGCAATGAGAAAGAGACACCTCCTTGACAGTTACAGGGAGTCTTCTGGTTTCCCTATCAATGTTCAAACTAGAAAGCCCCCATTTCCTTTGCCAGTTCTTTATTCTAGATAGCAGTAGACTTGAAGAATGAAATTTAATAACCTTTTGTTGTCTAATTTCATAATTGGTTAGGAGGACATGGTTTTCTTTTCCTTTCTCTACATTCTAAGATTTTTTTCTTCTTATTTCATCTCATTTGAGCTTTCTTAAAAGAACTTGTTTCTTTAAGAAATCAGCCCTTATATTTCTGGTTTCTGATTCTAGGACATCTTTCCAATAGAAGATAGTCAGTGACTCTTTCAAGTAACAGAGTTCTCATGGAGTGAATTTGCTCTATATGGAAAAACTTCATCATCTTTTCATCAAGAAGTTAAAGGTTTAATCTTCCTCAAATAATATTTCATACAGACTTGATCAAGACACTTGACTTCCCTCTGACATTTATCCATTAGCTAAAAGGAAGAAATGATGTAACTTGTCTTCTTCCTTCCCTGACAATGGATGCTTTTGAAATCAAATGGGTTCTATGTGTAAGGTGATTTGAAATCCTCAGATGAAAGCTGATATTTAAGCATGGGGCATTTTTTTTTACTTTTCATGGTCCAACTAGAAAATACTACATTTAGAAAATAATCCTTAGAATCATAGAACTGAGCATGATTTTAAAAACATCTCAAAAGACAAGAGAACCCTAAGGAATACATGGATGATTGTCCTATATCCACTCACTCCCAATCACACTATTTCCTTAGTGCTGACTATAATCAGAGACTTGACTTCACACCAATGCTAAGAAGTTAGCTAGACAAGACAGATAAAAATATATCTTTGGAACAGCCAAAAATGCTAGCACCTAGAGGATAAATTATTTTTGCCCCACCTCCCCAAAATGACCCAAGGTGACTAATGTCATTCTGAAAGGATGAAAATAGCTCAATTGTAAGAAAAGAAATAAGAGCCGTCAAGCATTTAAAATGTTGATAAAAAACATTCCTCTACCTTAATTTACTCCTTCAAAAAACATAAGCATAAACAAGCATGAAAGTAATTTCCAAAAAGAGTGTGAAAGGCATTTGCAAACCTCTTCTTTGACAAAACTACAAAGTGTGCTTCCAAGGATGTTAGTGTTTGTATGCTTCTATTTGTATTCTAATATCTGAAGCCCATCTTTTCTGATCATTTTCCTCTTCAGTGGAACCTGAATATAAGAAAAGTCACTTTTCTCCATTGTCTCTGAAAAATCTACACTCATTTACTGAAGAAAAAGGAAGGTCAAGCTTTATTTCTGCAAAGGGAACACTTCCACATAGCCTTTGGCATAGTACTTACTCAAATATGGTGGTTTGTAAGGCGCTCGTGTATTAGACAGCAGTCCATCCAGCTCCTTCCTCTCCAGAGTGCTGTGAAGGGCCTTCTCTTTACCAAAGGTAGAGAAAGACCTCTCTGCCCCAGGTTGGGCTTCTGGTGTTTCAAACACTTCAGTGTCTGGCACAGAATCCATCCCAGGAACATGCAGATTGCTGCGGTAATCTGCTGCCTGGCGTCCATCTGAGGGGACAAAGGAAGGCATCCAGCATCGATCCGAGTGGCCCAAAGCTTTACACTCCTCAGTACAATTGGAGAAGAGATCCATGCCTACAAGTAGGGAAAAGACACAAACTGTAGATAGGAGTTTCAGTATCAATGGCCCTGAGAGAGGTGCTAGAACAAAGGAAGCATAGAGAGAGATTGGTAGAGTCATCATGAACTCTGGAATGAGATAAATGTAACACTGCTTGAATTGCAGAATTAGGTGGACATCACTAAAGTTCACATAGTAATCTATGCATAAGAGGGAAAAGTGACTTCTAGTAGGTAGACCTATGAGAAAGAATGAGTCATTTCCTTATGGTCCCCAAGAAAAGTAATGGGATTGATGCTATTCAGAACAAGGATGGAAGTTATCAGATTTGGGAGGTGAGGTGAGGAATAGAACATTCACAATCCTCTGTGAAATGTCACACTGAAGTAACTCAGATGAAAGATATTTCTAACTTTTAAATGATGATTACTGAACATTATTTTCTATAGTATTTTAATGGGCTGGGGAGGAATTTAAAAGGGAGATTTATGGTGGTTTTTTTTTAAAGTATATTCTGAAATCCTGACATGGAACAAAATGAGAACCCTATAGATAGATTAGGAAAATTAACATGCCTTGGTCAACTGAAATATCTAAATGAAATTAATTGTCTTAACAGGGGAAAAATACATTTTTACATCTACTTAATAACTTCTGAAGAGGTTGTTCTTGATGACACTGTAGTAGTTCATATTATCAAAAACTAATTACAACTCACTACCTGGAAAAAATCCTATAGCAAATTATCGTAAATAGTGACCGTCAGTAGTCAAAGTACAGAGTGACCCAGTTGTAGATTCTATTGACAAATAGGTTATTACTTGTTCTATATCAGCAACCATTTGTTCTATCCAACTCAATGCTGTTTATTTACAAATACTTTAATGCTATTAAGGTTTCAAATGAAAATGACATGCCCGTGAACTTTTTCTAAATGGCATCACACCAAATAGTTTCTATTTGACAGTCTAGTAAACACATGATATTAATTAACAGGAGCATTCTTTATTGAGTGGCATATAGGTGTAAGTTGGGGCTGGGGGGGAAATGTCCAGGGTCAAGTTTAGAGGGCAGGTAAATCAACAGGGGTTGGTATATAGCTAGCAATTATCTTAAGTTAAAAAAAAATTAGGTGTCTCCTAGACCACAGGTGTGGTAAGCTCCTCTCCTGTCTTGTCCTACCTATTCCTACTTCCCCCTGAACACAGTTTCATGTTCTGTGTCCAGGAATAGTTTTTGGTACTTGCTTCACAAAGAAATATTCCTATTTGTGTCTCTGATAGTATAGAATACTGTTTACCATTTAACTCCAAATTTGGAATGACAAAGAAAAATCCATTTTGTGCTTCTGTTAAGTGTGGATAAGCATTCATGAAATACGTTTCAGAATTCAATTTTAGTTATTAGAATATTAGTAATTCCTACATAGGGAATAGTGGAATATAGTCTATTTTTTAAATGAAAACAAGAACTATAAGAAAGCAAAATAAAGGTTTAGTTTAAATGATTACATGATTGTCTTTAATTAATTAATCTGGTCTTGACTAACCTAAGCTCTTGAGCCATTATTATTATTATTATTATTATTATTGTTATTGTTATTTAAAATTCTAGCCTATCTTGCATTATAAATTGTTTTATACAAGAAATAGTTATTATCTTGCACTCTAGAAAACACATTTTTTTTCCTCCCAGAAATATAGAATTCTTCTGTATTATCCACAAGTACTCAGGAGATAAGAGCAGTTATTTAGGTAAATGGTTTTTTAAAAGGAAGAAAATCTAGGGTTCTTATCACATATTAATCTTACTTTATAATGGCTTTTTTATTTTAAATTAAGCTATGTACGATACCAAGTCTGCCTCCGATTCTAACATTCCATTGATAATTGGTATGCAGAAGTCTGGAAATAAATTAGTGAGCAGTCAGCTGTTGAGGAATGCAAATGTGAACTGAAGCTCGGATTATAGAAGCAAACTAGAAATAGCATAAAGAAACTTGAAATGTTATAGAAGACCCTTGACAAGCTCAATCTTTTATACTATTTCTACCAGGAGGAAAGGAAAACAAAGGGGAAAGAGGGGGGAAAATAAGTTTAATTAAGTAAGAAAATTAAGAAAAAAGGAATTGAATCTTCCTGGTGTACCTTTACACTCTTTGACTGAAATTCCTATAGAACCTAAGAAAGATCATAAGTCAATTTTTGGTATATAGTACTCATGAAATACCAGTCCTCCTAATATAACTTCTAGCCATCTGGGCAAGACAAGAAATGGTTATTTTAACATATGATACATAAAGATCAAAAGGAATAGGGAAGTATTAGATTAAACTGGTAGTTTTCATTCACAAGGCCGCGTAAATGATTTTTGAATCTCTACTAAGAACTTATTATAATTAAGTTGATCTCTAGCAAAAAGATATTTTATATGTGACCAACTTCATGTCAAGCTGAGGAAATTGCTAATGTTTAGCCACGTGGCATAATGGCAAGAGGGCCAGCCACAGGGTCTGGAAGACCTATATTCAAACCCAGCCTCTGATTCCTATTATCTGGGTGACCATTATCTATTATCTGGGTGACCATGGACTTACCCTTCCAGTGGCCCAAGCATCTCTTTAAGACTGCAAGTTCCAGAACTATTGAAGATTTGCATGTGTAAACACAACACACACACACACACCCCTCTAGAGTTTGGATGTTTTTTCCCCAAAGCAAAATATTTTTAAAAATATTTAAAACTAATAGGCTTTTAATCTTGATTATTTCTCAATGACAATTAGATATTTTAAAATATTTTAATATTTGATATTAGCTATTAATCTCTGTCTTTTTTTCCTGGGCTGCTCTTATATCTTTGCTGAATTTCCTTTTGGAAGGAAAATGAATGCAGCCTCTAGCACATTAAACAGTAATTCTAATAATAAAATGAAGTATTACTCTCAATGATAGCTGTATAGGTTTCTAATTACTATCTTTTCTTTCTCTATGTACTAGTTTTGTCTGCCCCTTATTTTCAACACATCTGTATTTTTATATTTAATATTTTCTTTTGAGGTTGTGCCATTTTTTTATCCTTTGGCCTTCATATACAACTGAAAATCTCCTAATAGCTGTAGGTCTAGATTAACAAAGTCAGTTTAATTATCAGTCAGTGTTAGTTGAAGAAAATGTTATCTATGCACTCAAAAAATTTAAAGGAATAGAAAATGTGTTATGCATGGGTTTGTTTATTTGTGAGTAGTGATGTGGACTTGGAGACAGGACAGTTTGAATGCCATCTCAGACAATAGCCGTGAGAACCTAGGAAAAACACTTAAGCTCTGCCTCGGTTTCTTTACCTGTAATATGATAGTATAAGAACCTTCTTCTTCAAAGGTTATTGTGAAGATCAAATGAGAAAAAAATATACAAAGAGTTTTGCAATCCTTAAAGTGTAATATAAGTGTTATTTATTAACTACCACCACTGTTGTTCTTCTTGTTAAAAACAAGTATTGTTTTCTGGAAGGATTTCCCAATTACATTTTAAACTGAATCTATTAAAAAGTTGCATTTGTTATAAAAAGGGAATATGATACCATGGAATGTACCTATGATTCCACCATATATGGTCAAAATCCTTTATTTCTACAATGAACAGATTATTTGGTGAAAAAAAAGCAATGTCTAGAAAGTTCCTTGGCCCTTCTTTCTTGCTTTTTTAAAATTTTGTGATATTCTTCAATATGTTCATATAAACACTCTAGTATAGAGACAGAAATTTCCTTTGACCTTCTAAAATAACCTTTCTTTTGGAAACTCTGAAATTCTGCTATAAAATTAGTTCAAGTGACTATAAATAGACAAGACTGGATGTTTCAATAAGCAGAGAAAAACCCTCTGTTTATTTTTCTTTGGGGAAGTAACAGTCTTTAGAGCACAGCAAGGGAAAGCAAACAATTAGAATGGCTGTGTAAGCAAGGCCCTGATTTTTAAGAGAAAACTATCTAGACATATTGTAAACATTTCAGATTTTTAAAAAAATCAAAGTATAAAAGCCTAAACAATCCATCAGAAATTACCAATCTACAGATATGCCGACATTGACTACTTTAATTACACACAGTATCATGTTATTTTCTGCTTGTGCATTCTGAATACATATTAATTATGCACAGATTTATTAGGTACTAGTACAAAATGCTCTACAGATAGATAATAAACACTGACACTTAAAAATCTATTTTTCTTAAATTTGAGGCCAAATAAAATACCCAGGAGGAAAGAAACTTAATTTGATACTTGCTGTTTAATTCCTATCCATATTTTCGATATGTCAAAACCAGGAGAGGTGACATACCAGAAATATATTGATTTTTTAAAATTTTCATCATTTTGAAAAAAGATTTCATAATATATCTCTTATATCTTAAATCTGTTTCCCTAGATATTTATTTTTTCACCATTCAGAAATAATTTCTACCAAGATGCGTGCCAGCTGATGTGATAGACTGCCTGTTATGCAAAGATATATTTAGTCAAAACTTAAAATACCTATTTTTCAACTAGACAGTAACTCTTCTCTTATGGTAAGGGAAAATAGAAAATCACAACTGAAAACAAATTGTAATTTCTAAAATGTGACAATTTCCCTGCAATTTATGCTATTTTCTATTGAATCTAATTTCACAAAATTATGCATATTATTTTTATCATGCAAAGAACTTTCACACATACATATAATATACAGTCTTTGAATTGTTTAAATAAATAGCAAGAACATCAATATCTTTCACTTTTCTTGGCCATCTCCAGTTCTACTTTTAGGCGTTTTAATTCTTTAAGGCAATCAGATATTAATTGGAATGGAAATATGTGTGTAAAAACATAAAACATATTCAAGCTGAAGATGAAAAATCTCTTCCCACACTACTTTTATAGACATCAACATTAAAATACTTAAAAGTCTTTAAGAAAAATGACTCATCCTCTCTCTAGATTTATCACAAATTACACAATCTAGAAGGAGAATTTTTTTTCCTGACTTCTTTCCCAAAATATCTTATTTTTTTTTCATTTACAAAGCTCTTCCTCATACCAATTTGTAGTATAGCACTTCACCAAAAACCAGAAAGCATCCTTTTTATACAGTGGACATGATGCAACATGTCTTTCCCCATAACAGGGAAGGTGATTTGCTTACATCCAAATTCTGAAAGGAGTAGAGAAAGGGAAGATGTCTCTGGATCTTAACCTGAATCCTTATTTTTTGTCTGAATCTTATATCACCAATATTCAAATGAAAATAAAATATGCTTTATTTGCAATTCAGCAGAAGGAGATTTTTAAATTAAATGTTTTATTTGAAACAACATTAGACATCAAGACAAAAATCTAAACTTTCTTAGTAATTATTTTTCATTTAAATTGACTAATTTCAATGCAAATAACATGTTCATTTTACTATTGTAGTAATATCAAAAGTCAGCATCCTCTCGTTATTTCACAAAACAGACATACTTCCAGCAATATCTACCAATATTCTCCCAGTTGCCTGAAAGGCAGGCTCTGAAGTTAATGAATGAAACAAGCTGATGGAACTGAAGTTAGAACTCAAAAGGGCAAAAACGTTTTGATAACTGATCACTTGCTAAGATCCCACATAAAATGAGTTGGTCTGAGCCCAGTTGCTCATGCATCATTACCTTCATGCTGACATTGAAAACTACTTACACCAATATGCATCTTTACCTGGGATTGCCATTTCAACCTTTTTCTACAAGGTACTAAGAAATATGATTTCATTCAACACTTAGTCCGCTGCTATACACAGTTAGTGCATAATACATGAATGATATTAGATACATCTCAGAAAAACCAACAATATTGAGAAGGTTTGGGGCCTCACTACCCCTGGATGCTTTATTAGCTTTGTAAATCAACAAAAGACTCCTTTCTTCAAGTCATTTGGCACATTTTCTCAAATTGTAAATCATTTCAGAGTATTTTTTAAAATACATTCAATATCTTAGGGATTTTAAGGATAGTTAATTCGGATTTTCCCTAGTGCTGCTTATGCATAAACCTACCACATTTCCCTGGCTCCCTGCCATATCTAAGCAATACATCAATAGCACACTAGCACACTGAAAACCTTGGGAAGCACCTTGACAAGGCTATAGACAGAAAGTGCCACAGAGCAGTGATCAAGCAGAAGAGTTTCCCCACATGGGGCCAGGTGCAGAGGGAAACTGACAAAGCTCATGTGATTCTCTCTGCAGCTGCCAGCATGTGTGAAGCTCCTCTGTGCAAAAGATTGGTGATAATCTGTGGCTGTGAGGGGTCTCCCTCAGGAGAACAGAAGGAAAGGGAGGAAACACTCAACAAAGAACACAGATAGATAGCTAGAGAGAGAGAGAGATAATAGCCATTAATGCTTTATTTGAGTTTCCTCATATATAACTATATCGATATTGAAATAGAAATGGGGAAACTCAAAAGCAAAGAAGTCAAGAAGGACAACTACATAAAAGTCAGGTATTTGTGGGTATATAATAAAGTATGTATGTCAATACTAAAGTATAAATATACCCATCCAATATTTCTTTGCCTGATAATATGGCCGTTAACTGCATCAAATGTGGATTAAGGAAACTGGCTAAATTTCATTAAATGTTTGCTTTTCTTGCTCTGAAAATATATATTCCCAAGAGAACATGTATGTCCTAATATTACATCTCTGAAATACCATCAGTATTTATCCTTAAATTAAAAGGAGGGAAAAGGATTTTTTTAAAGGAAATTATCAATATGATACTTTTGTCTTATTTTTTGGGAGACAGTTTAGCAACCATGGTGTTTTACAACACATTCTATGACTACAGCTTATCATAACCTTTTAAAAGAAAATAATTGTAATATTCTGTAATGTAATGTAGGAGATAGAGTGGATCTGTGATTTCACTAGTATAGGGAAATTCCTTGTGACAAAACTTTTTCAATGTATGAAGCCACAACTTGAATATTCTCTTATACTAATAGTCCTGGAAAATTTCCATAAGCGCTGAGAAGTTAAGTGACTTGCCAAGAGTGACACCACCACTATGTGTCAGAAGTAGGACAAGAACCCAGGTGGTCCTAGCTTTCTATCCCCTAATCTCAATGCCTCTCAATATATAGAAGAAGCTGTTTGTTTTTTTAAGTAAAAACTATCATTGGATGGATTATATCTCATTAAAATACGTATTTATAATATAAGTATTTTGCTTCTGTCCAATAATATTTAATATTGCTTCAGGTATTTTGTGGATATCCACAGAATTCCCACAAAATGAACAAATATACTTTTAGAACAGTAATTTTGTCTTGCATTATTTTAAAATAAAAAAGTTTTTATTTTGATAAAGAAAGAGAAAAAAAGAAAAAAAGAGCAAATAAATAGCTTCAGTTTGTCATGTGTCTCAGAAGTTCATATTAGAGCATTTTAATTTTTTTTTCAAATGCTTTGAGGCCTCAAGGAGAATTTGTCAGAAACATTGCCATAGGGGCAATCCTTGGTGCCTCTAAAATAAAAGAGCTGCTGGGAAGACACAACAATAAGATTATACTCCCATCCCTCTTTCAAATTCAGCTCTTTTTGCAGCTGTTTATTCCGTCCTTTCCCATTAAATTACTATGGCTCACTTTGTCTGATGGACTAAACTATTAGAAATGTTCATTGACATAGGAGTTGTGTGGTAAATTGTGACCAAAAAAAAAAAATGAAATGCATCTAAATAGACTTACAGATGACACTGATTTTAATTAAAAACAGTAATAATAAATAACCAGAGTGCTGACTGCTGTATCAGAAACCTTAATTTTTAAAGGAATGGAAAGAATAGAAATACATAACCTTTTAAAAGAAAACAATAAATCATATCCCATATATAGGCCAAAAATGAAAGAGACTTTGTCCTCAGATATAAACTTCTGGCAAGATCTGGTTTGTTGTCAGGTTCCCAGACACTAAATAGATGCTCTGTTCACTTAGCGTGAAGGCTCGCAAGGGGCAGGGACCTCCAGGGACTCTTGGCACTTCTCAAGTCTGATTAGGTCTGCATATTAATGAATTGCTGCAACATAAAGGACCCTTGAGCAGCCCCTCCTTTTTTTCTTTTTTCCCTTCCTCCAGCCTGGGTTTCCCAAGGCAAAGGGCAGCAGCAGACCCACTACATATTAGCCAAGTAAGAGGCCTGTGGCAACCACCATTGCCAAGAGAACTGGGGTAGTATAATACCCTTTGCTACACTGTGCCAGCACTGCTTAGTGATTCTGAACATGGCTTAGTATCAGGGAATAGGGGGGTCTCTATGACAGTTTATACAGCAACAAGGACTGTTCCATAATTCTATGGGCCCAAATGAAACAGGGCAAAGAAGTCATCTCAAACTTTGCTGAACTTGAATGGCCAAGTGACATATATTATTAGCAGTCACAAGAATGGCGTTGTCTCTCTTTTTTTTTTCTTTCTACAAAATACAAAAGCATGCCCCCTCAAAAGTTACAAATCTAAAATAATGATGGAGTTGGAAAGAAAGACAGGTCTTTCAGTGACTTCCTTATCATATTAAAGTAGAAATATCTCTATCTGTACATTTAGAGAAATCATTGATTAGAAACCTATGAGATAAACAACATTAATGCATCATGTAGAGGAATAGATAAGTATAAACATATTATCACATCACATTTCCCGAAACTGACTACCAAAATCTATTAAAACCAGAAATGGTCTAAATATACATTCACTGCTTAGCTACATTTGTTTTCTCATTTCCTATCCTGTACTTGATAGTGGCAATTTCATTGCTTCACAAAGAAAGAGGAGTAAATTCTACCTTTAGTTCACCATTTATAGACTACATGACCTTGGATAAGTCCCTTGGCCTTGACATCTCCAAGTTTTAGTAGCTTGATCTATAAAATGAAAAAATAATGCCTTTTTAACTTGGAAAAAAAGATGACTGCTTCAGTGTCCTTCCAGATTAGCCATTCCAGTCCAGATTACAACCCCCAAAAAAAGTATATTTAAACCAAATCTGCTTCTACAAAAGCTACAATGAATATCTACTTTTACAAAGAAAGTATGTCAAGATCTATAAATCTTATGGGAAGATTGTCAAATGAGCACCATATTACCTCTTGACATATGCTGTGTATGTATATACACATATAGGTTTTCGACATAGGTATCGACATATATATATATATATATGTCGATAACATTCATGAAACTACCTAAAAGATCACTCTCTGGTCTTTTTCTAAAATATAAACATTTTGAGTCACCTAAGGTCACACTCACCAGAAGACTGACCCCGGTTGGTGGCATCGTGGTCGCTGTCTCCTTGCTCACTATCTCCATGTCCACTGTCCTTAGAGCTTACTATGTCAGCTTCCTGGAATGCAGAACTAGAAGTGCAAAAATGCTAGTATTAGAATAAACATCATAAAGAGGAAACTCGGAAAATATTCTTCTGCCACCACATGGCCACAGATGGTGCTGCATGTACACATATCTTTCGGTAGCATGTAGTTTTGCAGAATGCTGATTTTTTTATTCTTAATTAAGTTTGGAAAGCAATCAGCACTAATAATCATAATAATAATAATGAATAATAATAATGACTAATAGTCCATTTTCTGATCTCACTGAATCACATTTCCATTATTATTGTCATTCATAATACCTATATTTTAAAATTATTCGCTCTCGTCCCTTACATAAAATCACACCCAGATCAGTTAGTATTTAATATTAGAAGGTGCCGAGGTGTGTGGATCTATAGAAAACTAAACCAATGTATTCATCTCTGTGTAATTGAAGTAAAGACATACAATTTGTGTTACTATATTGATTCCTAAACATCAGTGTATTTGTGATTTCATCTTGGCTTAACTCTATGCTTTTAAAATTCCTCTTTTTGCCCTTCCTACTTTGTATTATTACTGAGAAGGTTATAACGTCTCCACACACCATTCTAGGAGCAAAGATTCCATACCTGTTTACCCGACGAGGTCTGTCAACTAGATAACTGAGCTCTGCTCGCTGATGTTTAGTCTAGAAAAAATAAATCAAAAGCATTTGAACTCCAAATGTAAAAAAAAAAAAGAAACAAAAAAGAAATAATAGCCTCAAAACCAGACATGTATCCATTGCTACATATCTGAACACTTAGAGAGGCTGTCTTGAGACCTCAAACTAATGCCTGGGGGAAAAGTGAAAGGGAGGTAGAAAACTTACAAACATGCAGACATTATAAACTGGTTTATTCTTTGGCTCTGTTGAAAATGAGGAGGCTGGGAGATGAAAGGGGGGAGGGGTAAAGCTAGACTTTTCAAGGAAATAAAAGGCTATTTTTAAATTACCTCAAATTTAAAAGATGATTTTAATTTAAATGAGGCATATACCACCCTACCCATAGCTGCTAATATTAACTTTTTTTTTAAATGTATAATCTCTCATTGGCCCAATAAATGTGTTGGAGTGCATCCTTAGTTAATGCAATAAAAATAAACAGCACACTTTTAATAAGAAAAAAGTTTGAATATTTCCATGGAAATTCTTTTTTGTCACTTTATTTTCAAAATGTGCTTCCATACAAATGAGCAATACAAATAGTCATGAAAAGTCAATTAATAAGCTCTAATTCTCAAAGTGAGTAAAGCACCTGCCAAGAGAAGAGTTCATAAAACCCCAGAGGTCCTTTTGCCTTTCAATCAACCCCTGTACTCTTTTTTCCACACAGCATACACACTTTCAGGGGCACACACATTCTTGTACATAAACCCACTTACTTGACACTCTCTGCCCCACTCCAACCCTCCCCCATTTTTGCTCTTTGCCCTTTCTCCATCTTTAAAAAAAAATTAATCTGGATTACTTGGCCAAATGCTTTTAAGAAGAATGCTAACAGCACTGAAAGATCAAAGAACAGTGGCAAGAAAAGCAAGAGGGTGGTCATTAACTAAGAGAAATATAGCTGGACTGGTGATTGTGAAACCATTCTTTTAGTCTAATCTAGCAACGGGCAGTGCCAGGCCAGCTTCATTCAAATTCACTTGGTGTGGGCATGTGGCTGCAACAGTGTCTGTGTTGCTGTCCAGAGAAGAGAACTGCTGGCTGGCTCTTTTTGCAATGGGAGTTCAGAAGAAAGGGAGCTGATAACTCCTTCAATCAAAGGTACCTTCGAGTTTGGACAACTGTGTAGAGTTAAAACACATTTTAGCTTCTGTTTACAGGCGATTGAAAGCATTGATAAACAAAGCAAATGAGAATCCACTTTATTAAACACTGGGACAGACAGACGCAGAGAGCAGGAAAGATGTTTGAATGTGTGTTGGAGCTCACTCCCTCCCCATCCCTCCCCTTCCCTCCTCCTCAGACTGGCTTTCTGGGAACTTAATGGACAGAAAGGGAGTTGGAAAGAAGGGAAAGAGGAGAGAGGTGGGGGAAGTAGAAGTGGAGAAAAAGGTACAGGAGAGGGGGAATCAAAATAATTGTGGAGAGGAGAGTGCACAGAGGATTGGGAGTATCTGGTTATACAAGGAGGAAGGAGAGTGCCAGCCTCCTTTCCCAACATTACAAGGAAGCTAAGATCCTAAAATTAAATAAATAAATAAATAAATGAATAAATAAATAAATAAATAAATACACAGGGCAGCTGAGGCGAGAGAAAGTACGGTGCACCAGTGATGGATGTGCCGGGCTAGAGGAGGCTTTCTGATGGAGGAGATGATAGATGGTGGTCCTTTCGCTTGAGCCTTACCTCGTTGGACAGTATGCTGCCGTTGGAGATGATATCGGGCTGCTGGTCAGTGTAGCCAGTGACGATGGCCCCGCAGGGGTTGTGCTCAGTGTCAGTACTCCGGGAAGGGCTGCAGGGTTTGAGGAACATCAGGTCGGTCTTGGCAGACTCTGGAGTCAGACAGACCTGATAGCAGTAGTTCTGGTTGTGGTGATGGGAGCCGAACCCTCCGGACTCTTCCACTGGTACCTGTGCGGGGTTGCTGGGTACATTGGAGCTCTGAACCAACATAATGTCCGATTTGCTGAGCTTCTTCTTGCGCGCCCGAGCTTGGCGGCTGCAGCAAGAGGAGCCTCCGCCGCCTGCGCCCCCACAGCAGCAGCAGCAGCAAAGGCAGCAGTCACTGGCCAGGCACGTGTATATGTTGAGCTTTTTCTCCTTCTGGCAGCGTACTGCCAGCACTATCATAGCCAGTAGGAAGATAAAAGACACTGAGCCCAAGGCAATGATAAGAATGAGGGTGAGGTCCAGTGAGGTCTCCCCGCCTCCTGAGCGGCTGGGGCGCTGGTGTTCTCCACCAGAACCTCCTCCTGCTCCTCCCCCACCACCACCGCCCAAGGGTTCCACTGCCCCGTCGACCAGTTGCACCTGAAGCGTTGTGGTGGATGACAGCGGAGGCTGCCCGTGGTCCCTCACCTCTATCACCAGCTCGTAAGGCCGCTGGGGGTCGCGCTTGGCAGGCACCCTGCGCGCGGTGCGGAGCTCCCCCGTGCGCCAGTCCATGCGGAATAGACTCATCTCATTGCCCCGCACGATGCTGTAAGTGAGGCGGGCGTTCTCTCCGTCGTCAGCGTCCACTGCCGCCACTCTCGTGAGAAGGTAGCCAGGTTCTGCTGAGCGAGGTAGCACCTCGCGCGCTGGAGTCCCGTTGCGCCCGGGCAGGGGCGCCACGATTGCGGGAGCATTGTCGTTCTGGTCTACAATGAGGATGTTGACAGTAGCGTTGCCGGCCAGGGCCAGAGGGCTGCCTGCGTCCCGGGCTTCCACCTGGAAGCTGAAGTCTTTGAGCTGTTCGTAATCGAAGGAGCGCAGCGCGTACAAGTAACCATTCTCCGAGTTGATGGACACGTAAGTGAAGACGCTCATGCCCTGGATCTGACAGTCCAGGATGGAATAGGCAAGCTGGGCGTTGGCCCCCTCATCTCGATCGGTGGCGCTCACAGCGTAGATATAGGCGCCTGGTACGTTGTTCTCGGTCACATACACGTCGTAGACAGGCTGGCTGAAGCGCGGAGCATTATCGTTCACGTCCGACACCTGCACCTGTATGGACTTGCTGGTGGCCAGTGCGGGCTCGCCGCGATCCCGGGCTACCACTGTCAGAGTGTACGAGTCTCCTGCCTCCCGGTCCAGCGGGGTTTCGGTCACGATAGTGTAGTAGTTTTTGAAGGAGGACTTGAGACGGAAGGGCACGTCACCCAGCAGCTCACACTGCACCTGCCCGTTCTCCTCAGAATCGCGGTCAGTCACACTGAACAGGGCGACCACAGTGCCGGGCGCCGCGCCCTCACTCACAGCTTCCTTGACTGTGCTGAAGCTGATCTCGGGTGCGTTGTCATTGGCGTCCAGCACCCGAACAAGTACCTTGCAGTGTGCCGGCACGGCGTTGGGCCCCAAGTCCTTAGCTTGCACATACACCTGATAGACTGGACTCTCCTCATAGTCCAGCTCCCCGCTTACCTCCAGGCGGCCAGTACGCGGGGACAGACCGAAGAGCTCCCGCGCCCTCGGTGAGATGTGGCTGCTGAATGAGTACACCACCTCACCGTTCGGGCCCTCATCTGGGTCCGTGGCGTTCAGCTGAATGACCAGAGTACCTGGGGGCGAGTTTTCGGGCAGGGACACAGTGTAAACGGGTTGGTCGAAAGAGGGCACGTTGTCGTTGGAGTCTAGCACTCGGATAGTGAGCAGGGCCGTGCCCGTGCGCTGTTGCTGAGGGGGTGAGCCCCCTCCTCCGGTGCCTCCTGCCCCTCCTCCTTCTCCTCCACCTCCCCCGTCCACGGCGGTCAGCACGTAGCGGTGCACCGCCTGCTGCTCCCGGTCCAGCGGTTTCTCCAGTACTAGCTCCGCGAAGCGGTTGCCATCTCCTTGGGTCTGGACATCAAGAGAAAAGTAGCTGTTGGGGGTGATCTCGTAGTCGCGCAGGGAGTTGGTGCCCACGTCTGGGTCGAAGGCGCTCTCCAGTGGGAAGCGGGTGCCCGGTGTGGCGCTCTCTGAGATCTCCACAGTCAGGTCAGGCTCTGGGAAGGCTGGTGGGTTGTCATTTATGTCCAACACTTCTATCTCCACCCGGAACAGCTCTAGCGGGTTCTCCAGGAAGACCTCCAGGTGCAGGACGCACGAAGGGCTCTGTTTACAGATCTGTTCGCGGTCGATCTTCTCGTTCACGTACAGCACCCCGGTCTCCAGGTTAAGGTCCAAGTAAGGGGTCCTCGAATTGGGCACCGTCTGGAAACGGCGAGCCGAAAGTTTTGTAATGTCCAAGCCCAGATCTTCGGCGATATTGCCCACGAACGTGCCATGCTCCTGCTCTTCCTGCACAGTGTAGTGCAGCTGGCCAAGGACTCCCTCCACCATCCAGAGCAAGGCAAAGAATAATAGCACAATCATCTCCAACGGGGGGGGGAGGGAAGAAAGGTTTCTCTGCAGCCAACAGCCCCCCAAGCACCCCACTCCCTAGCAAAAACCTCCAAATATACGAATAAAAGTGCACTACGTGGCAGGACTGCCGGGGCTGGGGTGTCTTGGAAAGATTTAGTATTCCTTTTGCTTCATATTAGGGTTCTACTCCCACCATACAAACTCTTGTTTTTCGCGCTTGGCACTCGAAGGAAGGCAGACGTCCCCGCTCCTCATCTGTAATCTTACCACTGGCCAATTAATAAGATAATGATAATACAGTATTTCAGCTTCTTTTATTTATTCCGATAGTCTTGGCGCAAGGCAGTGCAGGCAAATCCCAAGGAGGAAATTTCGATATTTCAGGACTGTCCTCGGTTTGTCTTCCTGCTGATGGGAGGAGGAGGAGGAGGAGAAGGAAGAAGAGGAGGAGAAGGAGGAGGAGAAGGAAAAGCAGAACGAGGAGGAAGAAGAGAAGGAGCAGGAGAAGGGAGAGATGCCGCTGGAGCCGTTGAACATGCCTCTTAATTTAAAAATAATAATAATAATAAACCACTGGTAAAAAGCACAAGCAAAAGAAAAAATGTTTGTAACCAGAAAGATCTTATGTAAAAAAAGCACCAATGCTTTGCAGCATCAAACTTTCATTCCCTTCGGTTTTCTGGTTGAATTTCTCTTCTTAGGTGTTTCTCTTCCCTTGCTTTTTCATCTAGGGGCATTTCCAGTTTTCTTCTGCTCTGTCTTCAGCCTTGCTCTTTAAAAACACGGTGAGCAATTTCTTGCCTGCCGTTTCTTCCTAACCTCTTTCGCTCTTGCCCTCTTCTCTTTCTCTCTCTCTCTCTAACCTATCTCTCTCTTCTCTGCTTTCCCCCTTCAGTCTTAGATGCAGCTTCTGGGATCTCTGCTGGCAGTTTCTGAGCTCTGAGCGTTCGGCTTCTCTGTTTTTGCGCAGCGCCCTCCATCTGCCAACCAATTGCCGAACAGCAACACCCACTGTGGTGGGAGCTGATTGGATAGACCGGACGTCAAGCAGGGCGCGTCACGAGGCAACCAGGCGGGGAGGAGGAGGCGAGCTTGGTTCCAGAGTAGGTCTGGGAATGTGTGTGTGAGTGTGAGAGTGAGAATAACCCTGCAGATCCCGAAGCGCTTGCTAGGGGAATCTCTGCTTCGGAAACTTAATATTCCCTTGCTGCAGAGAGTGGATAGGGAATAGAGGTTCCCCTATTTGCATCAGCAACACTAATGCATCATAACAAAAACAGCCGTGTTCTTTCCTTGGAGAGGTGTTTCCTAGGATGCTAACTCTGACCCCCTCCCCATTTTGTATCTCCTTCCATGACATAGAAATAGTTGTTTTCAGCTCGAGGCAAAAGAAGAAAAAAAGTTGCAGTGAATTGTCTGAATTAGTTTAATTAGTACACTCTCATGATTGAGGACAGCTAACGGAAATAATAAAAATGCAAATAATTTTGCTGCCAGGGATGCGCCTGCTCTCAGATGAAGCAGGGTGGGTTTGCACAAGAGGTCGAACGGGGATCAGCCGAAAGGCTGGGGTGCAAGGTATTGGGGAGGGTTCTGGGAAGCCCAGAGGCTCCCGCCAAACCATTTGTGCTGACAGCCTGTATCTCTCTGCTCTTGTAAAGATAATCACTAATGATGATGCCAGAATGGACTAACTTTCCTCCGCACCTGGAATGAAAGCGAGCCCTCTGATAAATGACTGAGTAGTTTCACTACTGTATCTCTACTCTACACCTCTCCATCCTTTGCTGAAATGCTCTTTTTTAGCTTCCTATGCCTGCCTAGTACATCAAGACTCAGTGAATCACCTAAGATATCCCTACGCCTCACGAGGCATAGTACAGCAACTCGAAAGGCGGAGGGAAAGGAAAGAGAGAGAAAGGGAGAGAAGAGAAGTATAGGTATTTTTTTTCTGCTTTAGAAGGGAGAGAGCCCCCCTCCCCGCCCCCCCCGCCCCTGCAACCAAGGTGAACGGAACTGGGAGACCAGTTCCGAGGCTTTCAGCACCATGCAGTAAACCTTGTGTTGAAAATTCCACCTTGCACTAGCAAAAGACGACAGCCAATGCGGCAGGAGCGGGGAGCTCTGGTTATAGAAATATACACACAAGCCGCATAGCTAGTGTATATACTTGTACTTCTGCGATATTAGTAAAAGGTGTGTGTGTGTGTGTGTGTGTGTTTAAGATTCGGTCAATCTAGAGGGTTTGGTAAGTGGAGGTTTCTACGCTAGAAAGTGCCTTTGGACAGCCTTGTATAACGCCTCTAGTCCATACTGTACCACCATAGTATTCTGTACCTCGGTGATGTCAAGTTAAAATAGTGCGCCTAAGTCCCTAAACTCTTCATTCCTTAAAGAAACACTTGAAGAGACTGTTCAAAGAAAAGGGATTGTCAGAGCACTTTACAGGAAAGTTGTCGTTTGTAACTATTATTTGGTTACCGTATGCGCTTAAGATAAGAAAGAATTCTCAAGATTTCAGAGTAGAACAAGATCCAGGGGGGAAAAAAATTACTACACCACACAGTCAAAGAGGCATGTCTCTTACCGAGAAAAGCAAAGCGTCTGTGGACAGAGATATTTAAAGAGTATTTGCTACTAGGGCCTAAGGACACTGCATTTCTCCCCCACTTTCTTTTTAAAAGATTATGCACTTGCACGCCCTTGTGAAGTATGTATCTCCTGCATTTCCTCTAGTCCTTCTTCCTACCTCTGTTCATGGGAATAGATCTCGTCTTTAAGCAGTTTACAAGGATGAGATGCCAGGGGGAAAATGGCTAATCCTTTTCCAGCTGCAGTAAATTTAAGAGGGGACCAGAGCCCAGCAGCAACCTCAGCAGCTGAAATGTTTCAGCGCCACGTCTGAGGCTGAGAAAGGAGCTACAGTTTATAAAACGACCTGTGGATCGATGAAAAGACGATTATGGAGTGTCTGAATATTAATAGTTATCCGATCGTCCCTCTCACTCTCCTACACACACACACACACACACACACACACACGATTTAAAAAAAATTTGCGATCCTATAGCTGAGTCATCAGATCCGGTAGCATTTTCCCTCTTCCGACAATCCTTTCCTAATGTGTGTACATCCATGTAGAGAAGGACGTGTCTGCGTGTTTGTGTGTGGCTGTGTGCGCGCGCACATGAGTGTGTGCGCGTGTGTGTGTGTTTATGTGTGTGTGTGTGTATGTGTGTGTGTGTGTGTGTGAGAGAGAGAGAGAGAGAGAGAGAGAGAGAGAGAGAGAGAGAGAGAG